GGCTCTGCCTTTTGTTATCTGGGCAACCTTGGGCTGGTCACTACACCTCTCTGAGCCTCACTAGTTACATGATCTTCAGGGAGCTTGGAAGGAGAAGCCAGGGTATGGAAGTAAAAGTGCACTGCTGATGGAAGCATCCTCGGTAATGAGATGACAGATGGGGCCACGGTGGTCACTGGTTAGTGGGGCGGACGGAGTCTCAGCATGTGCGTGCCTGTGTGAGTGGTTGTGTGCGCACGCAGAACCCCAGTATTACGGGAGTGGGTAGAGGCAGGCATCACCACAAGAGGGTGCTCTGAGCTTTGTTTGTCTTCTCTACCTTGGAAAAAATTTTCCTTTTTTTATAGCTGCATTCCAAAGTGATCTAAGACTCATGGTTTTTAGTTTACCTGACTGGCTTTTATAAACTTTACAAATAAATTGATGTGCATTTATTAGTTTATCAATAAGTGGATACGATACTGTGTCCCTATCATCAGCATGCTGGGAAGTGGAGCGAGGGTGGGTGGAGACGGGAAGGAACTGGTGCCTTATGGTGTCCCGGCTCCACCACTGCTCAGCTGAGTGCCTGCACGAATTTCCCAAGAGTGCCACAGTGGTGAAGTTCCCACATCCAGGCTCAAAGGGATGTTGCGAAATGGACCAAATGGAAAGAAAAGCAACTTAAAGGTCAAGAACACAGTCGAGAGCCCTCTTACCTCCAGTGCAGGCCTCCACTTGACCGGTATGCCGTGCTGCAGCCGAGGCCCCTGGGGGCAACTCTGGGATGGGAAGGAGGCGAATCCAGCTGTTAAGCCATGACCTCAAGAACAGTATTTCCAGGAATCCCCATCTTAGCATCTAAGGGATTCCTGGGAAAACTGGACCGTGAGGACAAGGTGAGAGTGCGGCCTTCGGCACCAAGGCCCCGCCACGCCCCTACGGGGCCACCTGCAGTTTCCTCTGCATCCAGCCGGTCTGCCGAAGCCAGCGTGGGCGCGCCATGTATCGCAGGATGTGGCTCTGGGAGGCGTAGTGACGGGAACTTCAAGTGGCCTGGAAAGTACTTTCCCTGAGGTCAAAGGCCACGTTCTTGACCAGCATCCATCCAGCAAGCTGGCCCCCCTCCCCAGGACAGCCATGAGTTGTGTGCATTCCTGAGACTCCAGCCAGAGGGAGGGTTTTACTCTAAACTAAACCAACCGGGCAGATCCGGTCCCTGGCCTCTGGCAACTTCCTCCATGGTGACCTCCAGCGAGTCACTTAACCTCGGCTTTCCTCAGCTGTAAAATGGGGTAGTAGAGGACCTACTGGATTAGGTAACATAAATATAATTTAGGGGGTGGAGGCTAGGAAGAAGGGAATTGCTGGGATTGAGGGAAAGTGTCTGGGTCTGTCTTTGCTAAAAGTGACCCAAGATGTAAGGAGAAGACCAGAGCAGGGTTTATTATGTTCACCTTCAGGTCCCTGGTCCCCAGGTTTCAATGTCACCTGCACTGGGTAACAATACAGATCTGAAAGCAGACAGATTAGGCTACAACCCTGGCTCAACACTATCAAGGTGTGACCTTGGGCAAATTAGTTAACTAGAGCCTTAGTTTTCCCATCTGTAAAATGGGTCAATAACAGTACCCACCTCCCAAGCTTATTGGAAGGGTAAATAACATTGTGCTTAGCCCAGTGATTTTCCTCTGCTGTTCCTTGCTTGTCTGAAGCCCCTAGGAGCTGGCAGGCATTTGTGAGATGTTTGGATTGGTTTTAGTCAACAGCCTGGGGCAAGGTTAGCAGCTCTAAGAGAGAAGAGCCTGGCTCAAAGCTCAAGACTTCACCTTGAGGACTGAAAGATTTTGTCCAACCCACAAACGATGGATGGGTTTCAGCTCTGAATCCCTGATGGGACTTAGTGTTGAGAAGGATTCTGAAGCTGCGTCTGAGCGCTTCAAGAATGGACGCCTTGACAGATTAGCGGGGTCCACCACGGCTCAGAAAAAGCAGAGTCAGGGTGCAGGGTAATGGCCACACTAAAAGCTCATCTTACAAAGGACAGACTGTGGGGCTCAGAGCAGCCAGGACTTGCCCAGAATCATGAAGCAGATGGTGGCATGGGTGAGACTTGGGTCCAGAAACTTCCTCAGCACAAGCCGCTGACAGGTCGAGAGACCGGAAGTGTTCCTGCCCTTCCTTGGTGCCCCCAACACCAGCACTTACCGCTTCTGGCAGGTGTCCGCAGAACAACTTCTCCCTTCCTGAGCTACAGTGCTTCATCTCAGACTCCCAACTGACCAGAGATGCAGCACTGCACCTGAGGCTGGGAGACAGGCCGGCCTGCGCAGGGAGGCCGCGGGCAGGGAGGCCGGGAGGGGGCCTCTGCTCCACCAGCTCCGCCCCTCAGGCGACTGTACCCCACCTCTCCTTGGCCTGGCATTTGAATCCTCTGGGACCAAATCTCAACTTTCCTTTTATTTATTTATCTTTTTAAAGAGCTTTATGGCAATGAGGTCCTCTCTCCCCTTTAAAGTGTACAATGAAATGGGTTAATACATCCACAAAGTTGCACAACCATCGCCACAATCAATTTGAGAATATTTCATCCCTCCAAAAAGAAACCTCTTACCACGCAGCCCCTCCCACCCCCATCCGCCCCAGCCCTGGGCAGACCACCTTCTGTCTCTCTAGAGTTGCCTATTCTAGACATTTCAATAAATGGAGTCTCCCAATATGTTGACCCCATGCCCCCCCTTTGTGCTCGGTGTGTCCCAGCCAAACAGCACAGCCCTGGAATCTGACATTTCATACCACCCAACACCTGCCATGGCCCCTGCCTGCTCTCCCTGCTTCTACCCCCAACACCCAGACTTCCCACCCACCCTTCCCTGCCATCCACCCAGAGTAATTTCTCCAAAAGCAAACATGGTCCTATCTCTCCCCTCCTTAAATCCTGAAAGGGCTCCCACTGCCCTCCGGCTAGATTCTGAAACCTTCACCAAAGGCTATGGTGCCCGCCCCATCTTCCTCTTGGGCCTCTCCTCCAGGGAGCCCTGCACCCACCACCTCAGGCTCCCAGCTGCCATGCCACTCCCCTGCCCATCTCCTCTTCATGGGCTTGGTGTCTACTCAAACGGCCACTTCTTCAGGGATGCGCTCCCTGCCTTTCTCAGACATCAGGATACCCGGGGCATGTCCTCAAACATCCTGTGCCCTTTTCCTAATCCTTTGCCACAGTCTCATTTAAGACCACCTGCACGCATGGGCTGCAGCCCTTCGTGAGGGAAGGGACCCTGCCTACCGTACTCACCTCGGAGAGCAGTGGAGACCCCACAGCATCGGCTGAATGGCTGCATCGTGTTCCTCAATCTCATTCCCTCTGCTGTTAGGGCCGTTTGCATCTCAGTGGAACTGCACTGGATTTCCAGTTCCCTGAGGACAACACCCACCTCTTGTTAATGCCGGGGTGTCCTGGGTTCTGCTGGGGCCTTTGTACATGATGACGGGCCCAGGGAATGAATGTCACCCAGTGGATGATTGAATGGCGTGTCGGTAATTCATTTTCCTCTTTAGACCTGGCTTGGGTGGGAACATCTGAGTGAGCAGGCAGAGCCCCCCTGCACTCCTCCTGTCCCCCAAGATCTCAGGGAACCCTGGGAGTATCCTCCTTCTTTTTTGGATGCCCACTGTGGTGGCCTTGATGCCAGATAACATATCTGTTCAGGGATATGGGGGCAAAGGGCAAAGGGGGGTGGGCAACCCTTTCTCAGGGCTGGAACTGAGCAGGAAAAACACACTTGATACTAAAACATGTCCCCGATGCTCCTAGCAGAAATCTGAAATCAGGCCCCTATCCAAAGAGTCTTCTCCCTGCTCTGACATGTGGGGTAGGTCAGTCCCCATGTCCCCCTAGCAGGAAGCCCCTTTCCTGTCCAGCCAGAGAACTGCCTGCCTCTAACATAGAATCCTTGTAGGAACTCTTGGCAAACCACGTTGGTCTGGGGAGGGATTCCAACACCAGGACCAGCCTTGGGGGGCCTGGGCAGCCCACAGCCCGTCCACTCCTCTCTCCGCTGCTCCCGCCAGCCCTGCGAGAGAACACGCTTGCCTGACCCATGCGGAGGTTTCAGTGAGGAGTCAGGGAGGGTTGTTCCAAAAAAGGGATCATCTGTTGCCTGGAACCAAGCAGATGAACCAGCCCCTGCACCCAGTGGGTGCCCAGGTTTCCCCAAAGCCCTTTCACCAAAACCAGCTTTGACTTCTGGGTGCAGCACAGGGAGTGAACCGTTTGGGGAGAGTCTGTGGCCTCGGCACTCACTAGCTGTGGAAGACAGAGTGACCACGTCTGTCCATCCGCTCTCAGTCCTGTCCACCAGGAGGGGAAGCATCGGCTGGGCGCTCGCCTGTCTGCCTCCTTCCTAGCGCCTGCTTATCAGCCTCAGGCCCAGCGCCTCGCAGCCAGGGCACCACCGGGTGGAGTGTGATAACACCGTTTCATTTTCACTGTCTGTGTTCTGACCCTCATCTCCCAATTCTGGTCAGTGTTACAGTTTTCCATTTTTCGTGACTAGATTTAGATATTAACAACGACATCTTAAATTTGAAAATATTATGATTGTAAAAATTTTTAAAAAGGGCACCTGAGTGACTGCAATCTGGGCCACATTTAATCTTCAGGATGGGTGACGGGGCCAGCGAGGTGATGGTATCACCTCCACGTGGAGGACCCGGAAGCGGAGGGGACAGCTTCTAGGCCATAGCCCAGCTTGAAGGGGGTGGGGGTGCTGAGGGCTATTTCCAGCACATCCCACTGTCCCACTGGGCTCAGATTGTTGCCGAAAAATAGCAGCTCTCCTGGGTGTAGAAACAGGAAGTAGATGGGGCAGTCCCACGCTCCTAGGGGAGTACCTCTGACGCAGGGACAGGGGTTTGAGGCACAGCCTCTGACCAGGGGAGGGGTGTTGCCGCCATTTCCTCCGTGGCGATAAGCTGCCTAGTTGTTTCTTTATATCTAGAAAAATCGTAAGGGTGCAGACTGTGCTAAAAACAGTCATTTATTGAATGTTTTAATTGGGCCGATCCCCGTGCATCCCCAAGGCTCCATGGGAAGGGAATTTTCCGAGGGCAGGGAGCGAGGAGCCGAGCTGGGATTCCTCACTCGGAACAGCCGGCCCAGGGCCCCCATTTCAACCTCTTTGCTCAATGTCTCACCCCCTGACCGACCCTTTGGGTTTGAGACAGTCTAACCATGTCACCTGTCCGTCCGGCAAACCGAGTCCATCTTCCAAGGGGGAGACGGGACTGAACTTGATGTCATCCTTGCCCTGGAGGAGTGCCTGTGGGTGGAAATGGAAGGAAAATGCAAGGCAAATAGGGGACAGACCCCAGTGGCACATGAGCCCCAGAAAGGACTGCCAAGGGCTCTGAGGACAGAGAGGTTCCTGCCCCTGGGGGAAGCTGGGAGGGCTTCCTGGAGGAAGAGGAGGTGAGGCTGGGCTGGAAGGGCCTGGCTCCCTGGACCCTGGAACTCTTCCGTTGACTCTTGTGTGTCTTCCTGGCTGGCAGACAGCACTGGCCTGACCGAGAAGGAGGCCGATAGCCCTCCTATGTCACTTTCCCCGCAAGAGGCTCTGGGTCCCTCGTCAGGGGACAGGGGGCCACTTGGGAATTCCAGTTCTATCACCAACTGGCTCAGTCACTTCTCACAGACACGTCTCCTCTCTGCAGCTGTTTCCCCTTCTGTCAAAGGAGGCATTTGAAGAGGTGACCTCAGAATCTTACCTGGTGCTGGCCCTTGGCGGTCTGGGGGGTTGCTCCAAGGATGAGCCGTTTCTCCTTCCTGCTCCCCACTGTCTTCAGGAAATGTCGCGGAGCCTGGGGAAACCTCTGCCTTCTGTCGGGAAGCTCCTGGGAGGCTGGGAAGGAGAAAATAAACAGTGGCTGTCTGGGTTTTCTCGCCAGGCCTGAGCCAGGAGGCCTCCCTGGCTCCTTCCCTTATATGGCCAGGCCTCTCTGGGCTGGGAGCCTCCCTCTGCGCTCCCCCACCCTCCACCACCACTGAGGGCTGGGGGCCTGCTGGTCACCTGGGACTCTGGGGCTGCAGAGGCCGGGGCAGGACTGAAGATGGAGGGTGGGACTCAGGACTTGTTCCCATAGTCACCTGTGCAACTTGGCCCCCTGTGGCCTCTGGGCTGCAGGGGATGGACCAGGTGGGAGGATTTATAGAGGGACAAAGGGTGGAGAGGAGGGAATCCACCTGGTTCTGACTTAACCTCGAACTCACGGCATGACCCTGGCCAAGCCCGTTCCTCTCCTGGCCTGTTTCTCCCTGTGTCAATTGAGGGCATAGAAAATCCTAATTAATCCTCACAGTCAGCCCCATCGGGTGGGAGCTTTTGTTTCCCTATTTCACAGAAGGGAAACAGGCTTGGAGAGGCTAATGGACCACAGCTATCCAGCAAATGAGAGCAAAGCTGGATTTGAACCTGGGGCATCTGACTTCAGGGTCTGTGCTCTGAATGGGAGGATTGCTAAGGCTCCTCTTGGTGATAATATCCAACCACTCACATGTGCCATATGGAAAGGGGATTCTGCTGCAGCTGGCCCCTCGAAGACCAGGAGGCCCCAATGCCCAATGACCAGCCCAGAGGACACTGTTTCGTTAAACAATGGGGGCAGAGGCGCTAAGACATCCATCTCGGTGTCCCCCGTACCCCACACAGGACCTGGTGCAGACTCAGGGCTCAGGAAAGGGGAGTTGTGGAATCACTGACTAAATGAACCTCAGTAGGTTCACAAGTTCCTTCTTCCCTCTCAAGTGCCTGCCTGTGTCAGCCTCAGGCCATTGTCTCCTGAGCTGGATTGACAGGGTCCAGTCCTGCTCAGGTCAGCTGTGGGACCGAGATGAGGGTGGTTCCGCTCAGGGCTGGGCTCCAGCTGCAGTGACCGTGGGAGAGGCTGCAGGAGGGGAGGGCGGGCGGGGAGGTGGGGGTGGGGCTGGGTTGCTGGGAACAGCTCAGAAATGAGCCTCGCACAAGCACTAACATCCTGTGTGCTCTTGAGCTAGCCCTGGAACCTCCCTCGGCCCATCCATCATCGCGGCATCCGCTCGGACCCTGGCCCTCTTCTTGGGGCCCGGGGGCGGGTCGAGGGGGGCTGAGGACTGACTGTCAGTGTGGCCGAGACACTGCAGCTGGCAGCTCTGCAGGCCTGCTCAGTGTCTGCGTGGGACAGTCTCGGGAGGAGGCGCCTGGAGCCCTCCTAATCCAATTTGTTTAGACCCAGTCTCCGAGGCTCGCTGGCTCGTGAGAGGGGACTGGGTGTGTGCGCTGTGCCGGGGTGCACGTTTGCACACATGTGTGGGGCGTGCAGAAGTGAACAGGTGTGCTGTGTCATGTAAACCAGGCCTGGGCCTTGTCACATGTCCCCGGAATGTCAGCTCCTGGCCTCCTCCGCTCACCTCCAAGTCTTCCTCCACTTTTTCCGTTCTTACACCAGCTGGTGCCAGAAGCCCCCTCTGCAACTGCCTGACTGTGCCGTTCTAAGTGAGTTCCTTCACCTCCCTGGGCCTCAGTGTCTCCGTCTGTCTTGTGGAGCCAGTGGGTCACCCTGCCTGCTCCACATGCAGGGCACTAAGAACTGGCAGACACGGGAAGAACAAGATGGGCGGTAAAACAGCTGATAGGGTAGCTTGAGGTCCACATGTGCCAAGCACTGCGCTCCGGGGCACACACCTGACCTCGCGGACCCTGTCGGAGCCCCTCAGGCTGGCTCTGTCATCACCAGGCTCCCTGCCCCAGCTCTACCTGTTTCTAGAGTCCAACCTGTTTACTCCTTTCCCGGGAAGACTGGCATGGTTGCCCGCATTTCCCGAGTCCTGTGGTCTCTGGAGCGCGCAGGGCATGGGGTGGGGTGGGTATCTGGACTCTGGCTGTTTCCTCCTTTGGTCTCACTTGTTTCACCTTCATCCCAGACCCAACAGCCCCAAATGGCCTGCACCCCATCAATCAGCAGGGGCCCTCCACCCATCCTCCCACCTGAGGCCTGGTTTCTCTTGCGTTCTGAGGGTTAAGGTGGGGAGGGTATCCCGTGGACCCGGGTTACCACAGGAGCCGCCATGGGGGTGGGGGTGAGGTGTGGAGCGGGGTGGGTGCTGGCGAGTGGGGTGGGGAGCACTCACAGTTCCGTTTTCAGGGTCCCCTCTGGGGTGCTTGCTCCTCCATCGTGTAGGGGTGGCTCCCCCCAGTGCCCTCTCCTGAAAGGAATAAAGATACTGCCTGTCAGGAGGTGTGCGGTGCCCTGTGGCCTTTGCAGGTTCTGCCCAGGCTGCCAGCTCCGGGGCTGAGGATGGATCTGGGTTGCTGCTGGGTCCTTGGAAGCCTCGGGCTGAACCTGCTGAGATTTTCCAGGCTTCAAAGAGCCGGCTTCTCAGGCCCTAGGCGGCCGCTACTCCTGCTTTGCCTGCCTGGCTTTCAAAAGGAGTTGTCTGAGCTGCTCCAACCTCTATGAGATGGGGGCGGGTGGGGGTGGGGGTCGGGGGGGGGGGGGGGAGAGGGGAGGCTCCCTGCTCTGAGCACACTCAGGCCGCATCAGTGAAAGAACAGGTCTGGAAGGAAATTTCCCAGAGGCCCCTCAGATCCCACCTCCAGCCTCACACATTGGGAAAGAGCCATTAAGGGGCAGATCAAAACCTGGGGTTAACACCGTGGCCAGGAGCGAAGGGACAGCCCTGGGCCCACCTGGGACCGCTTCCAGCTGCACCAGGTTTTCAGGCTGCAAAGGGCTCCCTCCTCCGAATCAAGGAACACTCACAACCACCCCGTGGAAGAATCGCCTTCGCTTGCTGAGCTTCAAGGAGGCTCTACTAGGAGCCCAGGGTCACCCGCTGGGGAGTGTCAGGGGCCAGCTTGAGCCCAGGGCTGCTCCTGCTCCATCCAGCTGTCTCCCGAACTTGGGCAGCAGCTGGCTAGATGACCACCAAACAAAGCTCACGTCAGTACGGTCATTGCAAAAGCCCCTGTGCCCTTTCCTGGCCTTGCTCATTTCCAAGAAACACAAGGTACCGAGACTGGGCCACATCTGCGAGCCAGATGGCACGGCAGCGGGAGGGAGCTGATGTTGGGGCTCTGTGCCGCGCACGAACCCCACCCACACTGGTTCTTTCAGGAGGACCCCTTCCTCGGCTCCCTGAAGCATGTGCACGTAGGACAGCTGCTGTTCTCCTTGGGCTCCAGGGTTTCCACCTTGTTTGGAAAGAAGAGAAAGGACACAGGCCCTGGAGCTAGGCAGACCTGCACCGGACTCTCGCCCTAACACCCTCTAGCTGTGTGATCTAGGGCTGGTGGCTTCACCTCTCTGAACCTTGGCTTCCAACCTCCCAGTTGTTTGTGAAGGTGGAATGTCAAGCGCAAGCACAGCTGCTGGCACGTAGTAAACCCTCAAGAAGTGGCTGCCATTTCCACTGTGAGCATGGGGCCGGCCCCCCAGTGAGGCCCAGGCATGGAGGAGACGAAGCAAGAAGGATGAGGCAAAGGCCCAAAGTGGTACCCAGAGAAGACAACGGAAGCTTTGGTGGGAGCCACCGTGTGGGGCCCTTTTCATGTCGCCTCTGTGTGGGCTGCTCTGGGCTTCTGTCCCAGAGTGCCCTCCCATCCCCTCGACACCCCAGCTGAGTTCACCAGCCTCACACGCTCCCTATTTCCTCCCCAGGGAAGATCGCTGCCTGGGGACTTTGGAGCAAGCCCTGGGAACGCAGTTTGAGGCGGAAACAAGAATGATGCAGGAAAAAGGGAAGAAAGGGGCCCAGACCTGCCTGGCTTAGAATCCCAAGCCCTCTGGGAGTAGCTGGGGCTCTGGGAGGGTGGGGGGTAAAGAACAACATTCCCATGACTCTGACCTTATAGTGAGAAGGTCTCCCCTCTGTCCTGCCCTCTGTCCTGACCACTTTGCAAAGAACTGGGAGTTCCAGGGCTCCAGTTTACTGGGACTGGGCCAGGCCTTTCAGATAACACAAATGTTGGTTTCTCTTGGAATGTGTTGGATGGGAAGAGCAGCAGGTTAGGTACCAGGTCTCCTGTAGATGTGCTGTGTAATTGCAGACAAGTGTCTTTCCCTCTCTGGGCCTCATCATGATGGTGGGGAGAGGACTGGACTCCAGGGTATCCAGAGTCCTCTGAGCGTCAGATAAGTGGGGATGGTTAGACCTCACGCTGTCCCCCTGGTGTGAGTGTCAGTGTGAAGGAAGGCAAATGGTCTGCATAGGTCTGCACACAGAGAGAGACACTGGGCAGCAAGTACTGAGGCTGGAGCTCCCCTAGCTGCCTTGGACTTCCTTTGCCCTCCTCCCAGCCTACTGCTCAGCCCAAAGCAGCACCAGTGACCTGGATCAGGTGGATTTCCTACATCAGGACTTGAAGCCTCAGAGCATGAGTGCTGGTTTCACCCCCATTGTTCAGATGAGGAGACTGAGGCATGGAGAGCAGATACAGTCAGTTGGGGGCCCTGCTGGGACTGACCCCTTCTACTCACTGAGGGATCCTAATGGCTCAGATCTTAACAAAGGGGCCTCACAGGAAGGAGGGAGAGAGGAGAGCCTTTAAGTTCCTTTGGCTTTGAACATGGAATAATCATGACTTCCTTTTCCAAATATCTTTTGGCCCTTCCTAGAACCAGATGGCGGATGTTTGGAATTTATGTTGTAAATAGTGTTTAAGAAGGCAGGGCGGGGAGGGGGGCAGATATGTTACTCTCTCCAACCACCAAAAACAGGATCCAAGGGAGGGAATGGGGGAGGGGAGCTGACTCTGAGAAGATTTGGGGAGAAGGGAGAAGGATCATTTGGGGAGAAGGGGAAGGAAGAGAGAGGCGAGAAGACAGAGGAAGAGAGATTGATGGAGTGAGAGTGAGAACAAGACAGAGAGAGGCCAAAAGAAGAGAAGAAAGGGAAGAAAGAGAGGGCAATGGGTGAAGAGGGAGGAAGAGAGAGAGGAGGTGGGTGAGCGAGATGGCGAGGGGGCTCCCTGGGTGCAGGCTCTCATCTTGCGTTTAGGAGCAAACCCTTGCGTTTTCTAAAAATAGTTCAGCCTTTCCCCCAGCGGGGCTGGCAGCAGGGACAAGAGAGAGGCTTGTCCTTTTATGGTAAGAAAATTCCAGATCCTCAAGGGGGAGCTGGGCCCAAGCCTGTAGTTCTGGATAAAGCCCAGCCCTGGGGTCTGGGTTGTGACTTGGTGGGATTTCCTGGCTTGGGTGGCCCCACCTTTGGTGAGGAAAGGGCTGAGGTGGCAATGCTGGAGCTCCAGTGTCGGAGGTGGAAGGGCTCCTAGAGACATCTGGTCTACCCCATCTTTCTATTTGATAGGAGAAAAAAACCGCGTCCCACAGAGTGGAAGAGGCTATAGGCTCCCCATGTAGGGGTTTGAGGTGTCAAGGTAAATCAGTGCCCAGGTTCGCATGAGGATGGCTTACGTGCCCATTATTATGGAGGGCAGTGTGGGCAGTGGAGAGAGCACTGGTCTGGGGTTTAGGAGATCCACAGCCCACCCCCAGTTGCTTGTGGTTTGCGGTGTGTCCTTGAGCAATCTGCCAAATCTCTCTGGTCTCAGATTCCTTCACGGGGGTGATCTTAAGGGCCTTTTGTCTCTCTGGGAATTCCAAGGCTGGAAAGCAAAGCCTGGGCATAGAGGCAGTGGGCAATCTGCAGGCTGATATTTTCTTCCCGTGCCTGGCCTGCCTCCTCTGCTGAGGCAAAGCTACGATGGACCAAGATAGAGAGGAGGTTCTATAGGAGACGGGGGTAGATCATAGATGGGAATCTTCAGCTGTCCAAATTGGTTGGGTCCAGCCCCGCACTGGACACACTGAGGCCAGAGAGGACCTTCTGTTCAAGATCATGCTCAAGGTCATGTGGACAGTTGGGGCAGAACCAGGAAAGAACCCGGCCTTGGGCTTTTTCCTCTATAGGAAGTCTACCATCTGCAGCAGCTGGCAACTTTGGGGACCATCTGTGGCCAGGAAAGGGGCCTTTCGGAGCAGAGCAGACAGAACTCAAGATACACCTTCATCGTCTGAATACCTCTTGAAGACAGGCTGTCCTGGCAGGTCGCCCACCTCTCCTTGGCCCCCCTCCCTTGGCTGCAAGCACCTTACCATGGTCTCATCTCAGGCTGGAAGGGAGGAAAGAGGTGAAGAAGGATGCATAGGACAGGGCAGCCACTCTGGCAGTGTGGTCTCGGGCAAGTTTCCCCTTGTTAGCCTTGGGTTCTGCATCTGTAACACAAGGAGACGGCCTTGAAGATGCTCTTGACAGAGCCCTAACAGGACTGTCACAAAGTGAGGTTAGCACTCAACACCAGGGGAGGTTATGAAGCAGGCACTGTGTTCACCAGGTGGATGAGATGGATCTAGTCACTCTCCGTTGCTTTACAGTGCGTTGAGTCAGGGACCCAGTGCCCAGGGTTCCTGGTGGCCCCAATCCTCTGTCAACTCTGGGAGCCTGGACTGGCTCTCTGTCTCCAGCTTGAACCCAGAGCTCAGGTAGCTCTGGTCTTGAGTGTCCAGGAATGCTTGTTGGCCTGATCCGTGTTCATGCCCACTCCCCAGGACCCTGCCCAGGACTTTGCCCTTCCCTCCACCCTGTCCCACATAGCTGCCCACCTCCCCAGCCCCTGCCTGGCCCCCCCTCCCCATCTGCCCTGCATCTCCATCTCTCCATACGCGGTCTTTTTGTGACTCAATCCAAAGAGGAGGCTCGCTTTCCTCTTCCAGCCTCCTGTGACTGCCCCCCCCATCCCGACCCCCCACCTACTGCTGGGGGTAAGGAGGGACAGGAAAGAAAGGGGCCTAAAATAAAGCATCTTGTTCTAAGCTTCCCTGTGACCCTCCTGGAATTTCCATGTAAACTCTCTGGGGCGTGTGAACAGGGCTCTCAGGGACCCTGGTCCCCTCTGCCTCATTCCTGCTGGGTGGAAGGCCATCGGCTGAATGTCCCCCAGAGACCCAGTCTCACAACCAGGCTCCAGGTCTCCCTGGTGTTCCCTGGGAAGGGCAGAAGGCAGCAGTGTGGTGAAAGGAAGTGGGAGGGAAGGGAGTCCCTAGAGGCCCCCATGCGCAGCCAGGGCAGAATTGATGTCATGCCCAGCTGGGAATCTGACATTCAGGCAGGAGCGGGACTCAGCCCCATGAGACTGGCCCAAGGCAGCCAGGGCTGTGATGTGAAGTTACAGTCCAGTGGTGGGAAAAGCCTGAAGCCTCATGTTTGACTTCTCGCTACGGTGTCACTGCTAAGGTTGCATACCTCTGGTGATGGGGAGCTCACTGCTTTCCAATCACCTATCCCTCTTCGGATAGACTGTTGGAGATTCCTTCCCAATATCCTGACAACATCTGTCTCGCTGGGGATGCACCCCCGTCCTTCCCTGCTCCTCAGAAAGCTCTTCAGATGGTGACTGCAGCCCTGGGGCTTCCTACGCATTCTGATCCCACCCTAAGGTCTCCCGTTCCCTTGGTGACATCTCAGTCGCCAGCGCCCAGGTCTCTCCCCTGCATTGGTTGCCTCCTGGTGGTGCTTTGGGGACGGGGACAAACAGGCTACAGAAAGGGACAGATGCCAAGAAGGACCTGTCCCCTCCTGGGGCTTTGGCCTCTGGCTATCCAAGCCACTTCATCGCCAGGCCTTCCCCACTTTGCCAGCCTCAAACCTCACGGAGTTCCTAGACGTTCCCTCCGTCCCAACCAACCGGGCTTGTTCGCTCTCCCCTGAAAATGTCTTCCCAGCCCTGCCTCTGCCTTTGCGCACAGAGCTCCCCACCTGGAACGCACTCTCCTTTCTTCGCTGTCTGTCCAAGGTGTGCCCCCTGCTACTCTGACCCCTACACCAGGTTTTCCTCCCGAGAGTCTGAGCATCACTGTCATCCATGGGGTCAACAGAGCTGTCCCCCTTTTTTCCAAATCAAGCAACAGCACAGCCTGAAGAGCCCAGAGGGATGGAGGAACTTACCCGAGGGTGTGGCTGCAGAGCCAAGGCCAGAGTCTTAGCCTGGTTCTCTCCCTTCCTCCCCTTCTATTCAGCTTAGCTTGGCAGATGCCCTCAGACCCAATGCTCTTGTGGGGCCACCTGCCTGAGGTCTGGCAGGCTCGAGGCAGACTGACCAGTGGCCTCCGAGGGTCCAGCCAGGGGTGGTGCCATCAGAGGCACAGCCGCCTTCCCTCTGGACGCTTCTCCCGCCCCTGTTGCCCCGAAGCAGGAGGAGGAGGAGGGTCCCCTCTGCCTCCCTGCTGCTGGGTGGAAAGCCATCCGCTTCCAGTTTGGGGCTTTCCACCTCCTTCAGACCATGGCTTGGGTCAGAGGAGGGTCTTTGAGGAGGGGGCTCTTGGTATAGGCTCTTGGGGGGAGCCAGGGGGAGCCTGCTTCTTCCAGCCTTGGCCTAGCTGACTCCCTCTTCCTCTAATCTCCCATGGGCTGTGCGGGCTAAGGGGCAGCCTTGACCGCTGAGGCCCCCAGGGCACTCAGCCCCAGGGTACTCAGCCACTCCACGGGCTGCTCACTGGTGACGATTGTTTTGCCAGGGTGCATCTTTGCCCCCAGCAGGCATGGGGGTGGGTATGGGAGGCTGTCCCCTAGCACAACAGTGACTAATCCAGAAGGAAGCATGAGGCTTCAATGGCCCCTCCCCAAATGCCAAGAGTTGGGCCTATTAGGCAGGGTAGGACCGGAACGAGTTCTTTCTCACGAACTCACTGGGGTGGTGCTAGCGTGTAAGCACACGGTCTCTGGAGTCAGCCGTTCCTGGGGTTGAGCCCCAGCTTGGCTTCTTACAAGCTGTGTGACTCTGGGCAAATGACTAACCTTCCTGAGCTCCCAGGTTCCCCGAGGGATGATTCTTACCTCAGAGAGCGCTGGGCAAAGGATGTGGGCAGAGTTGATATGTGGCAATTGTTGGGTGTTTTTTGTTTTGTTGTTGTTGTTAATCCTCACCTGGGATATTTTTCCATTGATTTTTAGAGAGAGTGGAAAGGGGCGGGGGGCGGGGGGTGGAGAGACAGAGAGAGAGAAACATAGGTTGGTTGCCTCCCGCACACACCCCGACCAGGCTGGAGCCTGCAATCGAGGTGCCCTTGACCAGAATCGAACCCGGGACTCTTCAGTCCATGGGCTGATGCTCTCTATCCACTGAGCAAATCCGGCTAGGGCCAATTGTTATTTCGGAGGGAACAGTTTATCCCCTCCCCAGGTGGAAACAAGATTTCGAGCCCTGTACATCCCCCCTACCCCCCAAAAGCTGCCTTTGGTATTCACAGTTTTGCAATTACATTTTATTGGAACTTACTATATGCCAGTCACTGTTCTGAGGGCTGAATGAGTTTTAACTCACTTAATCAGACGGCTCAATAACCCAACGAGACAGGTATTCTTATCACGTCCAAGGCCATGCAGGTCCTACCAGGCAGATGTGGGATTCAAACCCAGGCAGTCTGACTTTCCTCTGGCACCTTTAACAACCAGCCTACCACACCTCAGTCCCACTCTAGCAGCGCTCTGACCCTCGCCTGGTCACCTCACCACCTGGGCACAGGGATTCACCCCACATCTGAAGCCTCCTGGCTCCTCACCGGAACAAAAACAGGCCCGAATTGATCTCCATGGGGCCATGAGAGCGGGTGATTCACGCTGTCCATTAAGGCATGCTGTGAATTGGAGAAAAGGTTTCTGGTGACAGAGCATTGCCACCAACAAGCCTCTTTTGCAAGAGGGAAGGGGGCGGGCTCTCGAAATGTGTGGTGAAGCCCCATGGGGCCTGTCTAGACAGGCCCTTAGGAGGTGGCAGCCACTGCGGGCTCCTCCACTCCCTGCCCCCCTCCACCCCCTCCTGAATTCCTGCTGACCGGCCCTAAGGCGACCTCTGATTGGACCACAGCCACTGCATACTGCTGGGCGGGGGAGGGCCCCTGGCAGTGCCCACTGCCAACCAGGGCCTGCAGGGTACTCTGCAGCTTGGTACATATGTAGGGCGATTTCTAGATGCCCATGTGGACAGGACATAGCAGCATTTTTGTTTCTTCCTTACATTCTTTATTACACAAATTTGATAGACACAAAATAAAGTGTAACATATATACTTCAAGAAATCTGATCATTTCAAGTGCTGTCAAGGAGGGGGCCACTCCTACACTGCTGGTGGGCACGTCACTTGGTTCAGCCACTTTGGAAAATCATGTGGTGTTTTCCTGTCATGCTGACAGGCATGTACCCCAGAACCCGGTAATCCTCTCTCGGTATAAACCCCAGAGAAACTCATGTGCACTAGGAGATGTGGACAAAAATGGTCATAACAATGATCGGAAAAAGGATTTTTCACCGATGTTTGCAGGACTCCATGGCCCTGAGCCCGGGGGACTGTTTAGTTGGAAATTGCATTTGAGGTGGCCCCAGGCACAGCCCAGAGGTGAAGACCTCAGCGACCATCTCCCCAGACCCCTCAAGGCTCACACGGGAGTCAGAGACAGCCCGGAGTTTCAGTGGTGGCTTCGGGCCTGGAACTTTCTAGTCCTCGGGGCTGTGTGTGTCAGCTCGTCCCAGAACTGGCCAGGCTGGGAAAGGGCTGACTTTGCCCAAAGACCTGCAGTGTGGCTCTTAGGGACCAGTGGCAAGAAGACTCCTTTCGGTCCTGGGGCACGGCAGGGCGGAGGGAGAGCAGTGCCCCAGAAGACTTGGGTTCAAGCTCCATGCAGCCACTCTCTGAGCCTCAGTCTCCTCTGTGAGGTGGGTGGGAGCCCTTGTCACTGCTCATCTGAGAGTCACCAGGAAGTTCTGGGGTGGGGTGGCCCAGGGGCAGGGCAGGAGGTGGGAAACCCCTGGGGAGAGAGCTTCTGGGGCAGCCAGAAATTATACAGTGTCCAGGCTTAACAATTCACTAGCTGTGTGACCTTAGGCATGCTACTTAACCTCTCTGTGTCTCAGTTTCCTCATCTGTACAGTGAGGATGAGGATAATAATTGCACCTACCGCACAAAGTTGTTGTGAGGTTTAGACGAATTAATTTGTGCAAAGGCCTTCATAATCGCAGTCTCACTTTCCTATCCGTACCACCTAGGGAGCCCGGGCTGGGCAGGGAGACGGGTCCATTCTAGCTCTGCCGTCAGCTCTCTGGGTCACCCAGAGTGGGGCTTTCTGTCTGTGGATTCTGTTGCCTCTTTGCCAGAGTCCCAGGCTGCTTGCCAGCACCGCGTTCTCAAATCTCCATGAGCACCGGAGCTCACAAAGCAGAATCCGGGGCCGTCTCAGATTCCCTGTGCCGGGTGAGTGTGCAGTGGCTAAGACACCACACTTTGGAACACATGGCCCATGGACGCCCTACTGAGGCTCAGAGAGGGTGAGTGGCCTGGCCAGGGTCACTTGTCCATAGTAAACAAGCCAGAACTGGACCCAGGCAAGGCCTCCTTTTGAACCACAATGGCCTTGGGTCTCATGCGACCAGAAGTGGGGAGGTGAGGGAGCGGCCAGGCTGGCGCTGGAGGACTGTGTCCATGTTGGGCCCCAGATGTGGCCAGAGCTTGTTCAGAAGTGCGTCTCCCAGTCCTGACCTCAGGCCTCTGTCTCTACCTAGCTCTGCCTCCCCGATGCCCATCGCACGTTGCCTGCTTTCCTCTGAGTCCCCACTTTACCCCCCTGAAGTCCTCTGCTGTCCCTCTGTCCCCATCCCACACTACTGTCCTGGAGATCAGCCCCTTCCCCACCAGAGGCTGCCTGGGGCCAAGCCTGCGGTTAGAGCCCCTTCCGCTCCTTTTAATCACTTGAGGCCCAAACTCCAAAAGTTCCCACAGGCTACGGGCATCTGCATGGACTCGAAGCAAGTGGTCAAAGGGCAGACTCCTCTCAGGGCTCCTGGGGAAATTCCCGGCACTGGCTGCCCTTTAGCTTGAATGGGGCTCAGAAGCCACATCCTGCGTGGAGACTGTGTTCCCCAACCGCTTCATGTACAGATAGGAGGGTGCAGGTCGGAGAGGATAGGGCGCCTGCCCAAGGCCACCAGGCCCAGCACTGAGAGGCAGAGCTGGGGCTGGTGCCAGGCCCCATCCCCATCCCCCAGCCAGCGTGCCCATCCCACTGCCCTGGCCCAGCCAGTACCCCGGCCTTCCCGCCTGTCTGCCTGTCTGCGGAGCCTGAGCTGATACGGCTTCTCCTCCAGTTTTGCTTTTTGAAACCATTCTTTGAAAAGTTTTCCTTGCCAGGAGCCCCGGGCCCTTGGAGCTGTGAAATCAAACCTCATGGAACACAGAAACACTGTCTACTGAGGAGCCAGGGAGATGGGCCCGGACTTGGTCACGGCGGGGAAGTGCAGCCGGCAAGACGGGAGCAGTGTCCACTCCCCCTGTTTCCACCCCCTGCCCCACTCCCCCATTTAATCACAGACAACAGGACCACAGATTCCGCACATCCGTCAGGGCAGGAGGGTGCTTAGAGATCATCAAGTCCAGCCCCTGTGCAGATGGGGAAACTGAGGCCCAGAGAGGCGGAAGGCACAGAGCAGGTTAGCAAGAGAGCGAAGACTAAATGCCCAACACAGCATTCTGGGGAGGATGCTGTCCCCCCGCCTCCCCATCTGCCACTGGTGCTTACCTCTCCTGTGCCTGGTCCAGGTGTGGCTCCTTGTGGCCCAGAGATGGGGGGCAGCCATTTGGGGGATCTTTGAGGATGTCACTGCTTCTCAACTAACTTCACTGGGACTCTGGAACCTCTCACTGCTGCAGGGGCACTAGGCCCCCAGCCCCTTGCTCTCTGCTCCCTGGCCAGAGGCCCTCTGCCTTTTACCTTATATGAGCTGAAGAGGCAAGCCCAGTGTTGGGGCAAGGCGGGTGCTGAGCCCTCCCGGGGCCCCTGATTGGCTCAGGCGCCCGCCACGTGACCGCCTCGCCTTGACCTGCCCCCGGTGCCGAATGTTGCTTTTACCCCCTAAGGAAGGAGTGGTTGACAATTTTCATATTTCTTCTAAATTTGGAGATTTCAGACAATGCTGGGAGGCTTGGTTCCAGCTGCCAGAGGCCCATGTGGAAGTCATTAAGCCCAAGAAGGGGGGCCAGGGGAGAGAGGGAGGCAGGGAGAGGAGGAGGAGGAAGGGGGTGGGGGCCAGAGTTCTGAGGGTTGCCAGTTGTCAGCCTGGGAACATGAGCAAAGCCCTGGGAGTAAGCTGTGTGTGTGAGAATTTCCTTCCTCTTCTCCGTCCCTGTGTCCCAGGCCTGGAGTGGGAGTGCTGAGATTTTCTGGGAACCTTAAGCCGGGAAGACATCAGTTCTGGCTCTTGGGGCCTAGAGGGTGGTGGTCATGGCAAGGGACTGGGGACCATGAGGAAGCAAACCCACTCTCCAGAAAGCGGGGGCCCTGACAGGCCAACCCCATCATTGTGCAAAGGAGGCCAGGGGCCCAGGAGGGACAGGCTTGCCCTCGTCATAGAGGCGCTGCCACAGGACAGGAGCTTGAGTCCGGACACCCCAGTCTCTCTTTTCCCCACCATTCTAGTTGTCGGAGACGCCCATCTCTTGCCATACTCCTCCTTTCTCACGCTTCAGCCCCACTGGCCTCCCGGAGCTATCTTAGCATTTCTTCCATGCCCCAGGGTCTTTGCACTTGCAGTTCTTTCTGCCAAAAGTGCCCTTTCCCCAGAGCTGGCTCCTCCTGATTCTGGTCTCAGTTCAAAAGTCACCTCTAGCCCTAACCGGTTTGGCTCAGTGGATAGAGCGTTGGCCTGCGGACTCAAGGGTCTCAGGTTCGAATCCTGTCAAGGGCATGTACCTTGGCTGCGGGCACATCCCCAGTAGGGGGCATGCAGGAGGCAGCTGATTGATGTGTCTCGCTCATCGATGTTTCTAAGTCTCTATCCCTCTCCCTTCCTCTCTGTAAAAAATCAATAAAATATATTAAAATAAAAAAGTCACCTCTAGATGAGGCCTGGTCTGGCTGCTGTATTATTACCCACCACTGCCCCTGCTCTTGCTCTCCGAGACTGCCCCACATATGCCCGTATTTCACATATCTCCTGGGTTAGTTGCTCAGTGTCTAGCTCTTCCAGGGAGCGTGACCCCCTGGGCAGGGTCTGTGTCCCCAGGCCTCCCACAGGGCTGGTGCAAGATGGCCAGAAAGACAGTTTATGGAGGGGCAGCCACCAGCATTGGAGCAGCTGCTCTGAGGCTGGAGGAGGGCTCCTCCCAGTGGCCAGCCGCACCCTGAGCCCTGAGCCCTGAGCTGAGGGCTGCTACCCCATCCCTGCCCTTTGTTGCTCAGAACTTCCCTTCTGTGGCCAGGGGGCTGGACCATAGCTATCTCCATTCATATTCTAATTCCCGGTCCCCTGGCTCCTGGCTGCCCCCTCCCTCTCCTCCCTCAGGGCCCGGATTCCCTCCAGCACAAGACCTTGTGCCATCCTGTGCGGGGCCAGTGGCCCCGAGGGTTGTGGGATGCTCAACCCGACACAGTCCCTGACCTCACAAGGCCCCGGTTTAGCAGGGCATCCTCACCGCTGCTTCCTCCCTCTGAGAAATAATCCTCCTGATGTGGGAGGCCTGTGAGCCTGTTACTGCCCTGTGCTTTCCAGCCAGTCAGCTGTTGCTCTGAGCCTTGCCTTCCTCCTCTGTGAAATGGGATAACAAGGCCTGCCTTGCAGCATTGCTCTGAGGGTCAGGTGGGGCGGCCCCTGCTGTCCTGGGGATGGGTCAGGCAGGGGCTCTGCTACTGCCCACGGGTAGAGGGGGGCCTTGGGAAAGTTACTTAATGACTGTGAACCCTATTTCCCCTTCTGCAGAATGGAGTGAGAAACAGCAGCCCCTTTCAGGATTGCTGTGACCAAGAGGTGAGACTGTGTTGACGAAGGGTTAGCCCAGGGCCCACTTCATCGTAGGTGCTCAGTGAGCGTCTGGTGTTGTTAAGTGTTGTGACTCGGAGCTGACACATAGCAGACTCACCATTCATGTCATCCCTTTCCTTCCTGAACCAAGGAGATGGATTCCATTCATACGGCTCCCCCCTCTTCCCCAAGCCCGGGGTGTAAGACCATGGGCAGGGAAGGCGTGGAACCCCGCTCCCCACCACGCTCAGGGGGCCAGGTTAACACTCCAGGCACCGCCAACAGATCCCGGGGCAAAGATGAAGCCCCCCAATAAAACCATCAAGATTATGGAAAGTTCACTCTGGAGATTGTGAAACTTATGCTTCTGTTAGTTCTGCTACTGTATGAGCATCAGAGAGTTTTCATCGAGATTGAAAGGAAAAACAGAAAAACTTCTAGTCTAAGTTGTGTTGAGAGCCACCGTTTCAATGCCCCAAAATCTGGACCTGGCTAAACCCCGCCAGGCTGTTATCAGAAAGTTCATTATCAGAGGTCAAGACTAGGAACTGAAGCCACCCAGAGACAGACCCCAGGACATCCTAGGAGAGGAGGTGTCCTGGCACCAAAGTATCTTAAAAGGCTAGCTTAATGGCAGCCATTTGTGACTCAGTGTCATAAATCTGTCTCAAACATTTCAAAGCCGTTTTTATTTCCTCCCCTACCCCCTCTTGGGAGTTATGAGTGCTTTAGGTTTATTAATCACTGTGTGAAGTGGCTTTTCTTTCCAGACTGTGGCAAGCAGCTTTGCAATCCCACCATTCCCAGAGGAAACAGGTCACTGATACTCCTCGTATGTGTGGGTAAGGCGTCTTGGGAGGCAAAGGGAGGGCTCTTCTTAGGAGCTGGGGATGAGAGTGTGTGTGGTGAGTTCTGTGTCTTCAGACAGTGTGTGCAGTCAGGGGCCAGGGGAACCCAAAGAGGAGGGGCCTGGAGAACAGGGGACTCATGGGGCCTGGGAGAGACGCCTCACTCCTGCAGGTGATCAAGGAAGAGCTTGCGTCGGGACAATTAGGACCGTTAAGAAGATGGAGTTCAGATCCACATGAGAAGGACTTTGAGGGTGGTGAGCACACAATGCAATACACAGATGTTGTATTATAGAATTGTATACCTGAAACTTATATGATGTTATTAACCAGTTACCTCAATAAATTCAATTAAATAAAAAAGAAATTGATAACTCTTTTTGAATTAAATTAAAAACTTTTATTTTAATTATTTTAAACTGTGTTTTTTATTGATTTCAGGGAGGAAGGGAGAGGGAGAGAGATAGAAACATCAATGATGAGAGAGAATCATTGACTGGCTGCCTCCTACATGCCCACTACTGGGGATCAAGCCCGAAACCTGGGCATGTACCCTGACCGGGAATTCAACTGTGACCTCCTGGTTCATAGGCTGACGCTCAACTACTGAGCCACACCGGCTGGGCAAAATTGGTAACTCTTAAAAATGAAAAAAGGACTTTGTAAGTCCGTGGAGCTACTCAAGGATGAAATGGACTAAAGGGCTGTCTTGATAAAGTTGTGCGCTCTCTGTTCCTGGAGGAATGCAAGCAGGGGCTGAATGACAACTTGCAAGTCCCTCCTAGTGCTGAGATCCTACGAACTTCAGTACACACTTCATGTTCTCACTCCCAACCTGTCCCCAACCACCAGCCCTGACTTCACACCGATTTGACCCAAAAGGCATAGCTCAGAGGTGACCAGTGGGAGACAGTTACGTATTGAAAAGGGCCATAAGCTCTGAGTTAAAATCAAGCTTCATGTGTTTTCTTTGATGAGCATAAGACTTTTGTTTCATTGATTTAATTTGATTCTGAGAGGCAATGGTCAGTTAGTGAAGACATTTATAATTTGTAATCAAACCAATTTCTCAAAACATCATTCCCCAAAACAAAACAAACAAAAAAAAACATCATTCCATAGAAAGCTATGCATAGCATATGAATGAGGTTAAAATCATGGTACAGAAGAAGATATATGGTATAATCCCATTTAAGTAAAATGATGTGTCTGTGAAATTACAATGAAATGTCACTACAATCCTATTAGGATGGCAATAATTCTATATAATAAAAGGCCAGACCATGAGTGTAATGACCAGAATGACTGCTCGGCCAGTCGCTAAGAGGTGGTGGGGCGGCGAGGGGAACCCGCTAGCTGGCGGTGGCGGCAGGGCGGGACAAGGGCCTGCAAGGGGAACTGGGTTGCTGGCGGTGGCAGCAGCGGCCAGGGACTGGCGAATGGGGAGAAAATGGCCCTAATCGCAGGCTAGGTCTAGGAACCCTACCCGTGCATGATTTCGTGCGCTGGGCCTCTAGTAATAATAATAATAATGGAAGAAAACCTCCTAGTTACTTAGATACTTGCACACTGATGTTCATAGCAGCATTATTTATAATAGCCAAAATGTGAAAATAATCCAAGTGTCCATCAATGAATGAATGGATAAACAAAATATATTATATATACACACACATATATATGTACAATGGAATGTTATTCAGCCATAAAAAGGATAAATTCTAGTACGTGCAAGAACATGTATAAACCTTGAAAACATGCTAAGTGAAATAAGTCAGACACAAAGGACAAATACTGTACGATTCCACTCATCTGAAGTGTCTAGAATAGACAAAATCACAAAGACAAAGGAGGATGATGGTTGCCAGGGGCTAGGGGGAGGGGAATAACGTTGCTATTTGGGATGTTGAAAAAGTTCTGGGAACGAATAGTGATGATGGCTGCACGACACTGCGAATGTACTTAATTGTACACTTAAAAATGGTTAAAATGGCCAATTTTATGTTGTGTCTTTTACCATAATTTAAGAAAAAAGATGTGTCTGTGTGGTGGGGATAAGTGTGGGTGAAGCCGGGTGCCCTGCTGGAAGCAGAGTTTGACCCTCAGTTTACGGCACAGACAGGC